AAAAACCAAAAAAAAAAAAAAAATGTACGTTTCATGTCAAGATGATTTTTAGTGTTAAAAAGATAAAAACATAACTTATATTAGTTGCTTTTATTCATTTCTAATAGAATAAACTATAGACTTTCCCGCATAGGTTTTAGTTTTATCCTTTATTTACCTTCATAAACACCAGTTAAAGATATAATCAAGTAGTTATTCCTACCAGAGTTAAGGGAAATAAAAATTACTTCCTTCAAATTAGTAATGAATAAATTGAAAGTAACTTAATTTTCATTCTTGAGAGATTTGGATTCTAGGCAGAAATTTGAAAACACTAATAAATCTACAGTTATTAAATTGATCTAACTTGCTACTAGACTTCGTAGTACTTGTGTGATTTTTCTTGGATTACTTTATAATAAATTTAATTATGAACTGGAACTTTGATCCCTGAGATAATATCAGGTTTTTTTTCTGCAGAAAATATTACACCAAAGCATATTGTGAGTAATGATAGCTCTGATAGTGACGATGAATCGCAAGAACCCAAAGGTAAGAGAGCTCAGAATTTCCCCCTTGACAATGCTTGCAGCTTTCATTGAGAAGACTGAATCTTGTGTCTGTTACAAAATAGACAGGAGATACGTCCCTTTTCCTTCTAACATCTCAAAAATGTTTTTTAATAAACAAATGAACATATCTGATATGACAGAAATACTGAATTCTTTAAGTCTGATTAGAAAAGCATGCTGGGGCTGGGGATTTAGCTCAGCGGCACAGCGCCTGCCTGGCAAACGTGAGGTCGTGAGTTCGATTCCAAGTACCAGAAAAAAAAAGAAAACAAACAAACAAAAAAAGAAAAGCATGTGTCTCAGCATCAATATTGTGATTTGGGCACAAATTTAGATCATAGTTTGCCTTTTACAGAAGGTTATATAGTTGAAATCATACAGTGTATTTCCTTTTTAGATTGGCTTCTTTTGCTCTCTGATATGCTTTAATGGTTCTTCTCTCTTCTCATGGATCAGTAACTCATTTCTTGTTAGTGTCGAGTAAATATATTTTTTGTTTAGCTGTATTGTAGTTTGTTTATCCAAGTTTTGAAACGTCTGAATAAAGTCATTATAAACATCTGTGTTCAGAATTTTACGTGGACACACATTTCCTGTTCACTAGGTGCATACCAGGGGGGCATGATTGTTATATCCTAGAATAAATTTAGTGTTGTTAGAAGCTGCCTAAGGTCTTCCGATGTGGTAGTACCATTTTGCATTTCACCAGCAATGAATGATGAGTTCTTTTGGCACCATATCCTTGCCAGCATTTGGTGCTATCAGTGTTCTGAATTTGACCATTCTAATAAGCAAGCGGTAGCATCCCATTGTACATTTCAGTTTTTCTAATGACATGTTATGTTCAGCATATTTACTTATGCTTACTTTCCACTTGTATATCTTCTGGGGGGAGATGTCTGTTTAGCTAGTTAGTCCATTTTTAATTGGGTTACTTTATTATTGCTGAGTTTTAGCAGTTATTTGTATGCTGTAGATAACAGACCTTCAATAGATGCATCTTTTTTGCAAATAATTTCTCCTAGACTTGGCTTGTCCTTCTGTCTTCTGGAAATTCCTTCATTTTTAATCATATAATTTTGATCAAAGTCTTTAGGCATTTCTAGCTTTAGATCCTTTAAATCTATACTACAATCGTTTGCTTCTTTGTACAGAACTATTGCAATCATCAGAGTAGCAAATGTACACAAAAGGCCTGAAGCTGTAAAGAGCTAAACAAATAAAAATTCACTATTAGTATCACATTGAATAAATAATTAATGCCATTTATATGTTGATTTTGGGGTTTTTCTCAGGAACAAACCTCAGAGGGATGTACCAATGAATGGATTGTATCAGTGATGATTATGAGGGTGATTACAAAGAAGATAGCTCCTCTGCTGGTGCAGAGTGTAGTTTATTTAAGAATAATGTGAATCCCCAAAGCTTTGGAAATAGTTTGAATCTCTTATTCATATCCTGTGCTACTGAAGATATAAATCAATCATTTTAAAACCTGATTTGTTGTGGTGAAAGATTTCCTTTGTCATGTTTGGCAGTAGAAACGTGTGGGAGTGGAAAACAGTCTGTTTTAGTGATTATGTAGTTGTCTGGATTGGCTCCCAAAAGAAAGCTCCCTTTTACTCAGCTCAGTTAAACTCATCTTTGTGAAAACATAAAGCAGTCTTTATTGTGATTTTATGTTTGTGTAGTGCGCTATACATTGATTGGAAATTATAAAGTGTGATTGTAGCTTGTGTTTTCTCTCAGAACTCTGTATTTATAAACAGAGTTACTGAAATTAGAACACAAGGGGTTTCGGCGAAGGTAATTATACTCTACCATAAATTGTTTTTTGACTTTGATTATGAGAGGGTTGTATCAATGATGATTATGTTGTGGCAGATGATGTTGTTTCTGCTACCAGCTAGCGTAACTGTGAATGGGCCAGTTATTTCTCTAGAACTTTACATGGATGCACAGATTCGGTTAATCTTCACAATAACCCTATGAAGTTTACTGATGAAGAAATGGAAGAAGAGATCAGATAGATAACTAGTAAGAAATGCACAGTCTGAGTCCATCAGCAGTGCTCTAAATGACTACATCATATAGCCTCCCAGGAATAGTGATGGTTCTCAGAAAGTCATTTAAAATTGTTTCCTTGGACTATTACAGAATTTGAAAACATTTTAGGGCATCTGTTTAAATTACAATGTTTTAGATCTCCAAAATTTATAAGTTGTGTGACAGGTTATACAACTGATTCTTTTTTGGGGGGGAGGGTACCAGGAATGAAACTCAGGACCTTGGGCTTGCCATGCAGGTGCTTATGCCTCTGAGCTATATACCAGGCCCCTGATTCTACTATGGGTTCTGTGAGTGTATGTGTGTGTGTGTGTGTGTGTGTGTGTTTCTGCATGAAGTCAAAATAAAGGAAGAAAAGAACTAAGGAAGAAAAAACAGGGAAAATAGAAAATTTACCTGCAAATCTAAGAATAGATCAAGTAGAACTGTCAATCATATAACCTTTACACTGTAGATAAAAAGAGAGCTAAGAACATTAAAAAGTTTTTTTCAGTATTGGGGATTAAACTTCATTTGAGTCTTCTCCCTGAGGTACATCCCTAACCCTTTAAAACATTTTTTTTTTATTTTGAGGCATGGTGTTTCTAAGTTGCCTAGGCTGGGCTTGAATATATGATTCTCCTGCTAGAGTGCTAGGACTGTAGGACTGTACCACCACACACAGCCAGCTAGTAGTTACGAAGACCCTTTTAAGAACAAAATTGATTAAGTATTTGTTACATTATTTGTACAAATTAACATATGTTGAATCAAAAACCATAAAGTTTTATTGTTCATGTTAACATTCAGTTAACCAAAGAAGCTTGCTTGATTAGGTACATTTTGGAGTGTTCATAATGATCTTCCCCTTTCCTTTAGGCACTGAAAGTGAAGATTCTGAAGGGGAATATCAAAATAATAATCAAGCAAGTTGGGTACAACGTATGATAATGGCCTTGGTGAGTGATTCAGCTTTGTTCAATACACGAGAAGGACGTGCTGGAAAGGTGCACAACTTCATGTTGGGCTTGAATCTCAATACATGCTACCCACTGTCTCCTCTGAGAGACTTCGTGTACGACGAACTGGATGCAGCTGTAGCAGGTAAGTACACAAAACGTTATCAGCGCAAGCCTATTGAGACTATCTTTATACTTTTTCTAAAGGAAAAGCATTTTAATTTCTGTTCACATCTATTTTTACTCAGTGACAAGAACATACATTTACTATGTGAGAGTCTTTAAACTACTTTCAGTTTTTAAGAACAAAATTGCACTGGACAAGAAATAGCTTCATCTTGTCAGTGTAGAACATATTCACTGAAAGATTGAGAGAGATCTCAGATCCTTTTTGTCTTGGTCAAGTTCACTCCTAGAAAATAGGGAACCCTCTACTGTCAGGACTACGTGGAGCTTGAAGCAGGGAGTTAGATGCTTACAAAATTGTTCCAAGGATTAGAGCAGCAAATTCCAGGCTGAGCTTGCCAGAGTGACTTTAAAAATACTCAGGAGTCACCCTCACAAACGCCTCCACAAGCACACTTGGCAGGGAAAAGCGCAGAAACATAGTCTCTGTCTCATTTCCTCCCTGGCCCAGGCTGGGTCAGCCCCGCTGGAGTCTGGGGGAGGCGGGGTGACCCTTGCTGTTGGCCGGGTGCCCTTGCTTGGTGTAGGAATGCACGCAGCATCTTGCACGCCCCAAGGGTAGAGAGGGGAGCAGTCGCTCCAGCTCTCATGAAGCTTTGGAAATTTTCTTAAGACCATCTGGTAAAAGCCTAGTCACATTCAGGTCTTTCATTTAGCCAAATGAGCAGGAATAGTTCCCTTTGTTTTTTAGTTCCATGGGAGTTATGGATTCAGAGGTAGTTTGCTTTGGTGGCTAATTGGTACATAATAATCTTTCCTCTATCTTAAATTTTCCTATTATCTTAAAAGTTTTCTATTCATCATACCGTTGTCTTTCCCTTAATTATCTTAACGTCATTTTTCAACCTTTTCTGGCTTAGTGACATGCATAGGATACTGTTTCTTTAAATGAGATATTAAAAATACTTTTTACTGTCCTTTGTGTTATACGTAGAAAATTAGGATATAGTTTTAGACTTTGTTGTTGTTCTTTTTTGTTTTTGTTTTTGGTACCAGGAATCGAACTTAGGACCTTGTGCTTGCCAGCCAGGTGCTTATGCCACTGAGCTATATCCCTGGCCCTGGTTGTTGTTCTTGTAGTGTCATTTCTGTTTATTGTTTGACGGTAAGGGCAATTACAAACACAAAAAATAGCCTCTGCACAAGGTGAATTCAAACATTTCTACTTTGCATTTTGCTTGTTTGAAACAGGGTCTCATTATGTATCACAAGCTGGCCTTCAGTCTGTAAATCTCCTGCTTCAGCCTCCTGAGTGCTAGGATTACAGGCATGTGCTACCATGGCCGACTTCTACTTTGCATAGTGTTTATGGCATTTAGACTCTAAAACATAGGCTACATCTTACATACCCTTAATCCAAGCCCTTTCATATGAACCATGACAAAAGTGTACTTTTGAGAAAATGAATATGTGTTTAAAAATTCATCTAAACTAAAATCGCTTAACCAGCCCTGTGATCAGTAGCATTATTTTTCTTGTCTCATGGCATGTGGTTGGGCTTATTGACATTACAGTAATAATTAAATGTGTTTCCTCTAGAAATTTATGCTTGATTGACGAATGATGATGGGCTTAAAAAAACACTGTACACACAGAGCATTTAGAACATGAAAGAACCTTCAGTTACTTGATTCTCTAGAAGAGGAAGAGCAAAGAAAATAATTCCATCATCTTTGTCGAAAGTTGCTCAGCAGATCTGATGAAACCAGGACACAGGTCTCTTGGCCTTGCTCCTAATCCTATCTCTTCAGCTACTTACCATCTCCTCAGTTTTATTAGTCACTGTCTTGCTGATGTAAGACTGGAAGTTTTCTTTGTGTATATTTTATTACCCCTGTTACATGTTTTTATTCTGCCATTATATACTTTCTCCGTGGTCTGCACCGCACGCTTGCTACTCCCCACAACTTCCTTGTAGTTTTGCAATGTTTTTTGTCAATTTGCTGGTGTTAGGGCTGCCAGATAAAATACAGAATTCCCAGCTAAATTGTAATTTTAAATAAGATGTGCATGAATAATGCGCAGCATCGTTGCAACATGTGGTGCATATTTAGATTAAGCAACTACTTGTTGCTCGTCTGAAATGCAGATTAAAGTAGGCATCCAGTACTTTTATTAGCCAACTGTGGCAGTCTTCAGAAGTGGGCCTCTTCATCTTTTTCTCCTGTTTTCAAACTGCTGTGCATTTTCACCTTTTTTCTTTTCCTTCATGCGTTCTTCATTCATATTGTATTTACAAACACTTACTAACGTCGTCTTGATCTTTGGGATGGGCAGCTGAACAAAGCAGGTAATAATTCTTGCTATCAGATTAGAAGCATTTATCGCTTCTTGGCCTTTTGGCTAAGATGAAGTGTAGATTAGAAGCATTTGATGGCTCATTGTCAGAGTTTGGATTTATGGAAAGACTTCTAGTCTTTGGTTAGTAATAATAGAAAAGCAAAACTAAAACTCAACAACCCTGGTCTGCATCAAGGAGGATGCAACAATTTTATTTGAGAGTATGGCTGCAAACTGAAAATATAAGTTAGATGCAGGTGTTTTTTCCCTCCATGTGTTGCTGTGAGATTAATAATTGCAGATCACCTTGTTTGATTCCTTTCTTCATTTGATGTCTTTTGAAATAAAAGCTATGAATAATTTTCATAAAACAACATGAGGAAATATATATAATATCATCCCAAAATATGGTATTTTATATACTAATTTCTTTTTTCAGATATTTTTAAATGTTCTAGCCTAAAATAGTTTTAAATTAATGACATTTGGGGAAAATTTAATTCATTTCTCAGTGTGTATCATTAAAATTACATTTTAGTCACTTTGTATTTTTTCAATTAAAAAATACACAGGGAACTAGTTTTATAAAAAATCCAGTTCTTTCAATAGTAAATTCATTTAATTTAACTGTGTCCCCATACCAACAATGCTAAAAACAGTTACACTTTAGACTGAGTTTACTAAAATGATTAATACTTTTTAAGTACCTGCTTAGACAGATCCTATTTATCTCCCTCTAATTGTTTTCCTATTTTAGACTAATTCTGTTTGATGTGGAAGTTAAAAAGTTTATCACAAACTGTAATCACTGTGGTTCAAAAGTCTTTGTTTAAATTCCTGGTAGGCAACTAAAATGCCATAATTAAAGCGTTAATTAAAAATATTTTTTTAAAAAAGTATTTTTCTTTTAATTTCATACACATCTCATGCAAAAAGTGGGTAGAGATTCTAATCTAGATATTATATTGCAAACATATTTTAGTTTACCACAGCTTTGTGGATACAGGTTAAAATTTGTGTATCTGAAAGTCTTCCAGTGAAAAGTGAAAAAAGGGTACTATCTTGTGCCCATGACTTTACCTTGCAGACTATCTTTTGAAAACAAGATAAATTATAAAATGATAAAATTCTGCTCATTAGTTTACTGAAAAATAAATACCTACAGGATGAATTTTAGGAAGTTGTTCATTAGTTACATGACTTCTTTCCTGTTTACTTTTGTGTTTATATTATTTACTGTGACATATACCATCTGGTATAAGAAATCAAGACATGAGTTAATTTAGGCCAGAATTCAAAACACAGACATCCAAATATTTGTGCATTGTAAATGGAATCTGTGTGATACATTTGTAAGATGATCATCACAAATATCCACAGTTGGACTGCTTTAAGGAAATGTTACATAACCGTAAAGCTTGTTTCTGTACTTATCAGAGAATCTGATTAATATACGTTTGGAAATTTTATGTGGTTTAAATGATGAGAGGATATTCTACCATAATGTCATTTATTCAATTTTCTATGATATTTTAAGAGATGTCATACAATTAATGGAGTTCAGGTTAAAGTAAGTTTAGGAAAAAACCCTAATAACTCTTGTCCTTCTCTTCACAAGGGGATAGGATGTTGTACTGATTTAAAAGCTCTACTTTAAAATATCTCAAACGTAGCACTGTAAAAAGAGACTGGCTTATATTTGAATCCCAGCTCCGTTTTTTATTAGGTGGATAATCTTGAGCACATACTTGGCATAAGCCTCAATTTACTTATAAAATAGAAAGAATAGCGGTACCCACTAATAGACTTAGTGTGAGGGTTCAGTGGCATGTTCACTCAAACTGCTATTAGTCTGAGAAATAGAGAACACACAATTGGCTATTACTTTAATCTGTTGAATTTTGTCTTCTTCAAAACAATTTAAGCACGGGGTTCTTATTTTATGTACGGAACATGTGTTAGTACATTAAAAAGTGATGCTTTTTGCAATACAATTTGGAAACACTACTTAATGCCAGCCTAGCTATAAGATTAGAACAGTGTTCAGCCACATGCCAGAGTTGGGAATGAGTGTACAGAATGATTTTTTCCTCAGTTGTAACCTTGTATTTAAGATTGCCTGATGAGAATGGGCAACTCAAAAATAATATTGCAGAAGTGGTTTATTTCCATTAACCTTTTAGCTTAAATTAAAATGAAAACAATTTTCAAAGCCAAAGAACACATTTATTTATTTATGTATTTATTTATTTATTTGAGACAGGGTCTCGTTATGCAGCTCAGGCTGGACTTGAGCTCACTTTTTAGCCCAGGCTGGTCTCAAACTTGCAACGATCCTCCTGCCTCAGCCTCTTGAGTGCTGGGATTCCAGGTGTGTGCCACCATGCCTGGCTAGAAAACATTTATAAGTTGTTGTGTTTTAATTATATTAGGGGAAATGTACTGTGTTTAAAAATACTCATAATTTATTTGGTTAGTTGTAATAAAATATGATGTGGCTTTACTAACTGAGAGAAGTATGTGCAACCAGCCATTTACATGGTAGTTACTGCTTTTGGAAATTTCAGTTTCAACTTCTTTCAGTCCTTTGGCCATGATGTTTTCCAAAGCATGTTCCTCACTTCCAGTTTTGTTTTCTGTGATTTCAGTTTCTTTGGGTCAACAGTCATCAAACTGTTAATTGGAATATTCCAGAAATAAACAATTCAAAAGTTTTAAATAACTTTACTACAGCATATTGTTATAATTGTTCAAATTTAATTTAATCTATTATTGTGCCTAATTTATAAACTGTGCTTTATCATGGGTACAGACGTAGGAAAAAGGATAAAGGGTTCAGTACTATCTGAGGTGTGAGACTTGTACTGGGGGTCGTGGAATTGCTCCCCTGGATAAGGGCCTATTACTGTAATAGTGTGACAATCTGTATAGGGCTTAGAATTCACACATTGGGTTTGGAACTTTAGGTCTCACTATCTGTAAAACTACACCATTTATTTTATCTCTTTGGACCTCAGTTTTCTTCTCTTTAACATGACTATCTCTTTTGTAAGTGTTCTATGGATGGTAAATCTCATATATAAAATTTCTAATGTACAGCAGATATTCAATAATAAATGGAGTTGCTTTTAGAAATGAAAATAGCCAAGTAATGAATTTCTAGCTTTGTCATAAAAATCTCTAAAACTATCATAAGCCAAAGATTAGACTTTTTTACCTTTAACATTTCAAATACATAATTTTAAGACTAAAAATCTCAGATAATAAATATAAGAGTTTGATAATCTTTATGGATTTCATTTTTGCAGTCTTTAGATTCTAGATTCTGGGATAGAAGGTTAGTGACTTAGCTGGTGAAAAAGTATACTGTTACAGTAATGTAGAGGTGCTTTTTAAGAATGAAATCAACATACAGATAATTACTTCAACAATGATTTCCCTTCTTTGGCTTCAGTGAGGGAGGACATAGCCCCAGACATAGTAAGACTCTTTTTTTAACCACTTGACCTGAGTTTATTTTCAGCCATATGGCCTTATTTTAAAAATTTAGGATTTTTTCAGCATTTTAAAAAAAAATTTCAGACCGTTTATTCAGACATTGTTTCCTTCAGCTGTTAAGGGCAATATGAGTTGCCTCAGGAATAAAATCTTTTCCTTCTTATCCATCAACAGCTCTAGTAAATGTAGCATTCATTTGTTATTCAGTATTTCAGAGATCAGAAATTGTAATAGATTTGGGAAAGCACAGATCTTGTCATTAATTGTAGACAGAAAGCGATAATAATGCCTTAAAGTAACTACACCAAAATCAAATATAAACAGCCTATTTCTGTTTACACTGAACAAACCGTATGGCTAACTGTTTTATTAATGCTTAAATTTCAGCTTTTATTGGTGCTACATAGTGTGTGCCTAAGTTGGACAGGAACCGTTTGAGGATTAGCTTTCTTTTTTGATCTCTTGTACTTGAAATGTAATGAATAAAATTGGTTGTTGGAGAATCACTATCATTTTTGCTTAGAAAAGGAAGAAACTGCATTGAGTTCCTACTGAATGCAGATCATTTTTTTTGAATATTTTATGATTTTGGAATGGAGTGCTCTGAATTTATAAGACAGGTATTAACCACTCTCCATACATGGTTCTATAAACAAAGCGAGCTCCAATCCTCTAGTTTTCAAAGATCTTATCCCTGATGAAAGTGCTTATCAAAGGAGATTTAAAAGCTCATTTGGAGACTGTCACACATGCCTGATGTGAGCTCCTTGAACTCTATGCTGCTGTTAAGAGGCTCTCAGAAGCTTGGCCGGCCTTCTTCCTACCCAAGAGGTGGGAACAAGCGTGTGGACAAGGAGACGGCAAAGCGGATGCCTGGCGTTTCATTTAGTTCAGCCCAAATCAATTCAATTCTGGTCCTAGTTTCCCCTGTTAGAAGTTAATTAGGAGCACCATGCAGGAATGTGAAGAGCTGCACGTTATCAATATTACTTTTGCATAAAATAACAATCTCTAGGATTCTACCGCTTTTTAGATCTCTGGTCATCTCATTCCATTTTTTCCCTCCACTGTAGTCATGCTGCTCCTTGCTGTACCTCAACCACACTGATCCTATCCTACTTTACTGTCTTTTATTTTAGTTTGCTCTCTCCTTGAAAAGCTCCCTTTCACTTGGCCCCACAGGTCTTTAGCTGACCAGTCTGTATCACTACTCTTGTGTCCTTGCAAGCTGCCTTCTCAGATAGGTCTCTTCTGACCTCCGACAGAAATTACCCCTCTGTTCAGACTTTGCCATTCATCAGTCATGTGACCTTGGAACTGACTTTAATTTGATGTCCTCTCCCTCACCTGTCTAAAACTTAAACAAAAATATGTATGAGGAAAGTTTTTAAACTAGTAAAGACCCATCTAGTGGGAGGTAATACTTTTAAGAGATTATAACTGAGAGATAATTCCAGAGGCCGAACTAATTTCTTTCTGGGTGTTGTCCCACTTAATTGTCACAGCGATCTCATTTGGTAATTACTTTTATCCTGATAATATAGGTGAAGAGACTAAGATAGAAAAGCAATAATTACCTGACAATTTTCAAACATGGATTTGTGCCCAGCTCTGTTTATCTCCAAAGCCTAAGGGCCTAACTATATGGAATTCTGTCTCTTAAATTTACAACGCACATTTTTCATATCTTAAATAATGTCAAGGGATCATATAATTCATTCTTCTCCTTTCCTTTTCTTAAGATCCTGATGAATTTGAGCAAATATATGAGCCACTGGATGTCAAAAGTAAAAAGATTCACGTGGTAGACAGTGGGCTCACATTTAACCTGCCGTACCCTTTGATCCTGAGACCTCAGAGAGGGGTTGATCTCATCATCTCCTTTGACTTCTCTGCTAGGCCAAGTGACACCAGCCCTCCATTCAAGGTAAGGGGATTTTGTATATTACAGCATTCCACACTTCAGCATGTTCTCTTGCAAGCCTTTTAGGTGTTTTAGATCTCTTGACCCAGTTTCTTATTTTATACTGTGTTCCACATTGTTAGGAGTAATATTTCTCAAATGCAGATATGCTTTCCTCATTTCCCTGCATAGAGAAATTTTGTTTTTTTTTTTTTACTGGGAATCGAACTCAGGACCTTGCGCTTGCCAGGCAGGTGCTGTGCCTCTAAGCTATATTCCCAGCCCCAGGGAAGTGTTAAATGAGTGCAGTGAGCAAAATAGAATTCAGAGTGCTGAGAAGGGTCAGAATAGTACAGTGGCGCTGAAGCTGAGGAGGGAAATTAGGCAGTGTCATTCTTTCTCAATCTATAGAGAGAAATGAGACATCAAAACGGAGATAATTTTTTCATCTCGTAATCACTGTCTGTATAGTCATAGGTTTTTAATCTCTTCCACGTCAGAAACACGGAAGGAAAGGGAAAGTTTCTATCTCTTCCTGATTCCACTGTAAACTTCTCTGACTAAATTTAGCCCGGCTTTTACCTCACGTAATTCCCTTTTCCTCTTTTTCCACGCAGTCGCACATCATTGGTCATAGCCCTGAGTCATATTTGTAAACACTAGAAAGCCTTTTCTTTTCTTTGGCCTCACGCAATTGCTTTACCCGGTGAACTTTCGGTCTTATTTTGATGTTGAATAATCATGAATGAATAACTATGAACAGCACTAGACATGAAATAAGCCAGTTAATCCAACCAAAGAGAGAGGAAATAAGAAAGGGTTAACTGTATGAGTTTTCTCAAATTTCAAACAAGAAATTACTCATACTTAGATGGGATTCACAGCAAAACTTAACTATATTTAGCCTAACACTTGGTGAAGCCAATGCTTTTATATCCATTAAATCCTTGTTCCTCTGGATTTTTATGTCTTTGTAAATGGTATCGAGAGATCAACTTAAAATTCCCACAAGTCCTGAAATATTAAGAACAGGGAGAGTTTTGTAGAAAGCGTATTTTTTCTTTGACTTTAAAGTACTATGTTGAAGTACTTATTTTCTCTAAATCTGAGTTATTGAGGTTTTTAGGTGCTATCTCATGTGATCCTCATAGCAGTCCCAGAAAGACAGTAACAGTATTAGCTTTATTTTACAGAAGGTAGGAAATGTGTTGCTGAGAAATAAGAAACAGCTGAACTATACAGGAGATGGGATTGGGGTTCTGTTATTTCAGAGACAGGGATCAACTTGGTCCTTGTTGCTCATGATCACAGTATTATTAGGACATGTCATTGTGTAATGTAACCCCCCTTTTAATAATTTGCTTTTTGATGGGCTTTGATGGCTAAACAATTTGTCCCAAGTCCCCCAGCTAATAAGTTAATGTATATGTCTGAGCTAGACCTGTTAGATTACACAACCCAGGCACGTGTCTGTCCGTCATCTTTTCCCGCTCTGTCCCACAGTACTACCACATCATTTATCTCTCCAATTGATTCATAAGCTCCAAAACTTCAAGTATAACTTCTCTCTTATGCTTAAAACATAGCAGGTGCTCATAATAATTACTGAGTGAATACATATGCAGGTACATTGCAAAATCTCATAGCTGTTTCTAGTTTTATCATGGCATTTATCACAGTTTTAAACATGAAGCTCATTTAATTTTAGTTACAAACCTGTGAGATACATATGAGTATTACTATCACCATTCACAGCTTCTATTAGAGGATATCAAGTAAAGAGATGTTAAGAAACACACTGAAGGCCATAGGGCTTCTGTTTGGACTCAGGCATTTGGTCTGAGAGCCTGTATTTTTACACTTTGATAATCTGCTTCATATACAGTCCATTTCCTCAAAGCTGCATATAAACAGAAGTGAGACCTCTTCACTATACCATTCTATATTAATTTATGTTCTCCAGTTTAAATTTTATTTCGGGGGCAGTCACACACTAAGCTTCTATGCAGAGCAATCTTCAAATCTTGGTGATTGGCAAGTGTGTATTTCTTCATTATGATGCACCTCAGCTTCTGTGGTTGTATTTTATGCGCCTTCCCTTTCTGACAGGGATCTATAATCCTCTCATTAGGAACGAAGTTAATATGTGGAAGCGACCATACACTCCACCACACCCGCTAACTAAGCAAATGGCTTCCCCCACGGTCACTACATTTATAGTACATATACACTAGCATCATGGAAACTCAACTTTTCTTTTTTTAAAAAAAGAATCCAAAAAAGCTGATTCAGGGAAAGCAAAATATTTTTACAGATAGAATAATTAACTGGTATTTTTAACACTGTAGTGGACATGATAGAGATTAAAAAATCTAGGGCTCTTCTGCTACTGGAGTTTTAAAAAACTCTTAATGGTTAAAATATTTTAAAAGGTTATAAATACTCTGGATCCATATGTATATGCATTTTTCCACCAGCAGTATCTCTATCATACTTTCATTCAATTCAGTTCGTTAGTGACTTTAAAAATGCAGCTCGCCCTGGCTGAGAACACAACATTCTTGAGTTTGGTTGTAGAATAATTTTATAGATCCTTCAGACTGATGGGCTTCTTGGGAACAGGGTTGTTATTTATCCTAGCAAAGAACACACTGCTGGCAGACAGTAGAGACCTAAGGAATACTGAATAATTCTCAGACCAAGTGAGTACGAACAATTCTCAAATGCTTCTTCCTCTCTTTTCTGTAGGAACTTCTACTTGCAGAAAAGTGGGCTAAAATGAACAAGCTTGCGTTTCCAAAGATTGATCCTTATGTGTTTGATCGGGAAGGATTGAAAGAGTGCTATGTCTTTAAACCCAAGAATCCTGATGTGGAGAAAGATTGCCCAACCATCATTCACTTTGTTCTGGCCAACATCAACTTCAGAAAGTACAAGGCTCCAGGTATGCTTGGGATAAATTTTATTCCATAAAATAGAAAGCTGTCAGGAGCAAGGCTGATATTAAACTGTTTCACAATGGCACTGCTCTACCAGCAATACAACATTGAGTGCGTTCCCGGGTTGATAAATAGCTACTGTCCTGAGACCCTTTTAAGTACTTCTCTTAGTTACCCCCAAATGCCCTGAGATCGTCCCAATGCAAAAACTAGAGTTAACTGGATATCTCAGCAAATCTCTATATGGCTTTAACTCCAGACCTTGGGATATGTTTGTTTTGATTGATTGGTAACCTTGTCATAGGGAATTTTATATATTTTAAATATCATCCTTAGAGAGTTCATTTTAGAACAAATCATGCAAAAACTCTGGGAATTTTAACTCTTTTCAAAAAATAATGTACCCTAGCAGTACAGCATGGCTAAGAATCATCCTACCCCACACCAGGAGGTGAAGCAGCTGGGGTGTTTATGTACCAGTTAGCTAGAGTGTTCAGTGGCATGCTGCCTGGGGAAGAGAATTACTTATGAGAATTTGCAGTCTGATGCTGGTGGAAACCAAAGTTCTACACTTGCGAAAAGAGAAGAAGTTGGGCCATCAGGCCAGACATGCAGACATTGGTCATGGGAAGGCGTCCAGTCAGAGCACACAGAAATGATAGTCTGGAGATGTTATAGATTCCCAGGCGGCCTCTCCAGGGGATCCAGTCTATCTTCATGGTTACTTGTATGTTTCATTCCCCGGGTTTTAAAGATATTTTGTACTTTTCAAAATAAGACTATTGATGACTCTTCTGGTATTTAGGTGTTCCAAGAGAAACCGAGGAGGACAAAGAAGTAGCTGACTTTGATATTTTTGATGACCCTGAATCACCATTTTCAACCTTCAATTTTCAATATCCAAATGATGCATTCAAAAGGCTCCATGATCTAATGCACTTCAACACCCTGAACAATATCGATGTGAGTATCTCCTATGACTGCTAGTGAAGTCACAGCACTTTCATATCACATAAATACAGTGGTATCCCTTTTATATAATCAAAAAGGAAAGTAAGGCTCATAGCTGACAATGTGGAAAATGTGTTACTTTCCTTCTCACAGATTATTATACTCACCTCAAAAATAGCCTCACAAAATTTACAAATAATGAAACTAATGCCCCCAAATTGGTAGAACTCACACATTATACTATTTTTCATTGAATGATAGATAATTCTATATTTCCTTCACAAAGCATCTAGTATATTTATCATATGATAAAATAAGTATTAAGATTGAGGAAGAAGATGATGAAAAGGAAATAGCAAAATAGAAAAATATGTGCAACCAGAATTATAGTTAACCTGCCAAAATATCAGGACATGAATTTTAATGAACACATTCATGCTTTTAAATGTCCTATTTTTGTGGGTCTTGGGAATTTGCCAAGTACAACAACCTTGCCCAGTTTTAGTCCTTGAGATATCAAGTGTCCTTTTCTTCAGAAATTTTAGAAACAAGTCATTCTCTTCAGTACTAATCATTCTTATCCCTGGTATATCTGCTACTAAGATTCTGTGCTTGTGTGAAATTCTTTAGTGTCAAACTCACCATTTAGGAACACTGTTGTGTAATGGAAATCATTGGTTTGTGCTCCTAAATCATAGTGTCTGAAAAAGTATTATCAGTTGTGAATGCTCAAGTTTATTGGCCTAAGTCGATGTTTTTACATTAGGAAACCACCCCCCCCCCAAAAAAAAAGAAGAAAAGAAAATAAGTGGGGAAAGGTATCTTGTCGGATTTGCTGGTCTTTTTGAAAACCTTATGAATGGCATGAGAATTTACAATATAGAAATCTGTTCTATATGTATAGGATTTAGCTAGGCTTCCTGAGCTAACAGAATTCTGGCACATCTAGTTTGCTTGCTTTTTAGTTTGATCTGGTACTATTAAAGACCAGTTGTGTGTAGTTATGATTGTAAAACTTATTAGTCACTGTCTTTATTTTTTTAAATATATGCAACTTTCCTCAACAAGCTTCATTTCCTAAAACTGTAAAATTATCTTCAGTTTACATTTACAAAAAACCAATTTTTGGTGTTTTGAGACAGGGTTTTTACTATATAGTTCAGGCTGCCTTGAACTCCTTTTGTAGCCCAGGCTGGCCTCAAACTCACAGTGATCCTTCTGCCTCAGTCTCCTGAGTGCTGGGATTACAGACGTGTGCCATGACCTGGCACACGTGACCTGTAATGATGAAAATTTTAAAGATATTAAGACAGAAATGAGTATTTTAATATATGTAATAGAGATGAAATTGAAATTCTCAAAATAGTTATATTTTATAAAGCACCATACTACTAAAAAAAGGAAGAGAGCTAAAAGTGATATCATAACAATCTTATTATTTCAGTATGAAGCTAAAAAATTAAAATATATTTTCCCTAGGATAAAATGTATAAAGCTTGATAAGTCATCTTCAAATGAAAAAAGCTAGATAATAAAGAATGTATAAATACCTATTGGTCATGGATACACATACACATATAGTAAAAAAATTGCATTTCTCTTGTTATTTGCCATTTGGCTTATATGAAACCTGCTAAACTGCTTGCTATTAGGTATGTTATAGCTATATATTTTACAATTATTCTTTAAGATAGTTGTTTGACACAGGTGAAAAAGTTAAAGCTTGAACAAAAATAAATTGCATTCCAAAATAACTCCTTTACAGCTCATTGGATGCTGATTCTTCACAAACCATTAACTAAGCATTTTTAAATTGCCTCAACTAACATCTGTAGCACAGCATGTAGAAGCAATATTGTATTTGTTGTATTGTTTTAAAATCACATATGGGTTATTTGTATAATTTTAAATAAGCTGGTCAGTTTTTGAGTTTTGTTCATTCATCTCTGAAACAGGAGTAATAGTAGCACCTATTGTAATGATAGTAGTGAATATTTAATTAGGTGATTAACAAACAGTGTCCTACAAACAGAAGGTGCTCAATAAATGAGAATCTTAGCTATGTGGGTCCACATCTTGTATGTCTGAAGGTCCATAGTAAATATGCTCCCAAAGACCTTTGGAAATGTTTATAATTCTCAATGTAAACAAGTTTGTACAGGTAATAACAGCCTAGACAGTGTGTAAATATTTTTTCAGATAATTGAACAAAAGCATTCTATCTACACTATATGACCTTTGAGATTCATGTTTAAGTCAGTCTCCCTCCCTCCTTCTCTCTCTCTCCCTCTTTCTCTCTTTTGCTCTCTCTCCTTTTATCCAGGTAAACCTTTCAACTTTAGCTGAAAATTTTCCCTCCCTTGCTGATGTCCCCTGCTTTAACCAGGAAAATACATTTTTGTCATTATCAGGGCCTCTTGTTAAGTAGAAAATGCATTAAGAACGACAAAATTTTGTGTTGAGGTTGAGGTGTTAGACAATCCATTAGGTTATCATCAGCCACATCTTGCACTCCCACACCATCTGAATAGAGAAGTGCTTTGCATTTCAGTACGTGGACTGCCGCAGTGGTTTTCAGTAGCAGACACTATGAATATAAATTGTTAGAATGTGAAGTCACCATGTGCTGAGCCCTAATAAGGTAGTTTTCAACTTTGTGGCTCTGACCAGTGTGGCATGAGGCAATGTTCCTCTGCAGTTCATATTCTGACCTGATTTTCCTTGGAAAAGGCTACCTTATTTCTTAAGAGTTGCGTGCTCCTTGTTTCCCCAGGACACTCTAACCGGCCTGTTTTGTAGATGCTAAATATCCTTAGAGGTCTTCAGCTCTGCTTTTGCTCACATTGTGACAGCTAGGGTTTCTCACCAGCATCAGATTTCTGCACTTACTCAATCCGTCCAGATGCCTTCTCACTGAGCACTGTTTCCATGTTTTCACAATTATGGTATTTCTTTTTTTTGTTTCCTTATAAGAAATTTAACATATAGTGACTTATATTGCAGACATGAGGTAGATGGGTGTATTAGTCACTTTCTGTCCCTGGAACAAAATACCTGACACCCACAACTTAATGGAGGAGAGGTTTATTTTGGCTCACAGTTTTAGCCCATGGTTGGAAGCTGTAAGGCAGAAATAGTATGGCAGAGGGGCCCGGCCAAGGAAAAGGTGTTCAAACTTCACTCGCACCAGCCAGGCAGCATACAGAATGGAGGGACTGGGAAGGGAGGTTAACACTTCAGGTCACACCCACAGTGACCCGCTGGTTCCCACCAGACCTCCTAACAGTGCATGCATCTATGAACTCATCAGTGGATTCCTCTCCTGTGCGCCCCTGTGATTCAGGCACCTTGCAGAGCCCCAGCTCTGAACAGGAGGCCCTTAGGGGAGCATTCTAGATCTAAACCACACCAGTGGTCATGCAGACTTTGGAGTCAGATCAAAGTGGTTGTTCAGATTCTTGTTCTGCTGCCCATTAGCTGGATGATTTGGAGCATGCTGATTAACCTTTTCCAGTTTTATTTTCCTCATTTGGAAGGAGAAAACAATAATACCTGTCTTATAGAATCAGAATAGAGTTTATGTAAAGTAACATAAGGGCTAAGGATGCAATAGACACTCAGGAAATTGAAACAGCTAATATAATAATGATGATGATAATGAGTGTTCATATTCTTGTCTGCTTTTAATTACAAATTATTAACACTTTAACAGCAACAATTTATTCACTTTGTTTCTCTCAGAGATACCGATCACGATGTGGGGTACCTAAAGTACATATACAATACATTTTTCATGAGTGATTTACTAGGAAGTGTCATGGTACGGGTACTATTGATTGGAGGTGGAGTTCCTGATTGGCAGATCCCTACGGTGTGTCTGCCCATGCAGCTGGCTACACACTCAACTCATAAACTACCACTTTGGTGCAAATGGAACATGCCTCCTGAGATCCGATTTTTAGGACTTGTTGATTCATTTATTCCAGGAAAATATTTTGTTTTCCAGGCTCGGTTATTCAACTTACTCAGTGGATATACAGTAAAGGGTCAAGTAGTGTATGTTAATAAAATGAAGGAAAACATATGCCTAACTTTTTTTTTTTTTTTTTTTTTTTGGTAGTAATGGTGATTGAACCCAGGGCCTTTGTACTGAACTACATTCTTAGTCCTTTAAAAAATTATTTTTTGAGACAGGGTCTTCCTAAGTCTTAACCCTTAATTTAGTGATATTTCATCTTCTTGATAAGAACATCTAAGTACGTTAGACTCTTGTCTTTTTAAAAATAATTTGAAAACTTATCATGTGCTGTGACCTAGTTAGTGTACTAGGCCCGTAGGAGAGGGAAGGCTGAGATTCTCTATTGCCTGTTGTAAGGAGTCCTGACTGCCACCTCTAAAACAAAAAAATAAACAAGAGAAAGGCCAAATAAATGTATTTGCTTGTAGTTTTACATGATACCGGAACCTTCAGAATGAAGATTTTAGACACCCAGGGTGAGCTGCCTGTTTGCATTCTTTTTGGGGGAAGGGTAGAGGGCACTGAGGTTGAGCTCGGGGCTTTCACACTGAGTATGTTCCCAGCATTTTCTTTTTAATTTTGAAACGTAAGTGTGATGAATCACGGACAGTAGTATAGCATGTGACCTAACGAGGCTTGGCCCAGTGGAGAAACCCAGCCAGGCCTGTCCTGCTCAGCTGCTTCTTTGATCTCTCTGTTCGTTATTCCGTACTCTTTGGTATAGGACAAGACCCCTCGAAAGTGCGCGCATGCGCATGTGTGTTTGTGTGTGTGCGTTTTAACTTGTAGGTGTGGAATTTGAGCTGTGAATTATTTAGACAGACTGCTGGAAGTCACAGTGATGAAAGAAGCTGAGGTCACCTGTCTTTTCCCACTCTTTCCTTGCTTCCCTATCATCTGTTTCTTAAGGAGCATTCTTTCTTCTTGTTGTTGTAGTTAATATTTTTTGAGACAGTGTCTCACTATGTAGTTCAGGCTCGCTTTGAACTCACAGTGTAGTCTGTGCTGGCCTCAAACTCATGGCCATCCTCCTGCCTCAGCTTCCTGAGTGCTGGAATTACAGACTTGGCATAGTAGTGTTCCTTAGATACAGCCTCTTTTCCAGTCAAGGCAGCTGGTTCCCAAGTCTGGCGTCTGCCTTCTTGACGTCCCATTTTTAGCCTTGTTTTGCAGCTACCAAGAAGCTGGTCTTCCCTCTCCTCTGGTAAAACATTGCCCAGTCCTCAATGCCAGCCTGATTTCCCTCATGGATTCAAAAAGTATCCTGTGTAATTCAACTTCAGCAAATACCTTTTGTGCAGTTATTAAATTTCCAAGGATTTATTATATAAAAGATGATTAATCTAAGATCCCTGCTTTGATGACATTTCAGTTCTTACTGGGAAGGCAGGCATTGACTAGCAAATTCATAGTAATTTAGACCAAAATATCTACTTCTAATCTCTTATATTGGTTATTTTTTACTTCTTTTTCAAAATACAGTGTAACTTCCTTTTTTGCACTCTTTTAAAACATCTCCTATGGGGAAGAGAACTTTGCATTTGCTTATGTATTGCATACAATTTCATGTCTCTAAATTTGTTCTTTTTGGCATGTTTTACGTATTTTGTTTTTCTTATTGTGTAGCCTTATTGCCAGAGAGGTAAGGGACCTGATTCTACATTTAGACAGCAACTGAATACTCACAGGAAAAAATGGTACTGGGCAGACTTCAGGGGAAGGAGGACGGAAGGAGAAGGTTGAGATAAAGAACTGTTACAGGGAAAACCCTGACAGGAAGGATTATTCATAGTATAAATTAAAAGAAAACTATAGACTCACATTTGACATACTGCTTTTTCATCTCTCTGGTTGTACCAGTCAGCATGCCAAAAATGTTTAACTTTATCAACTTACCTAGTTTAACTCCTGTAAATATTACAGAATTACAACTCACAGGAATTGGGTATGTTCTGCAGTAATCTGAAAATCCTGTTTAATAGTTTCCTAGTGTCAGTATGCCACCTAGTGGCTCAATTTGTACATTCTAATTGCATATGATTTGGATTTTTTATTCCATATGATTTGGATGCTTATTTCTTTTATAAGAATAGCTTGATTTTCAGGAATACCAACTGAGGTCCAGTTTATTAGTGTGTGATATTGATTTTTTTTAATGAGACAGGGTCTCACTGTATATTCCATGCTGACCTTGAACTCCCTCATGTAGCCCAGGCTGGCCTTGAACTCATGGCAATCCTCCTGCCTCAGCCTCCTGAGTGCTGGAATTACAGGCATGTGCCACCATGCCTAGCTTGCCTTGTTTTTTTTTTTTTTTTTTTTTTTTTTTTATGCTCTTGAACTCATTAAAAAGGAACTGAGAACAATCACTGTCAGTATAATTTCCTCTGTGGTCTTTTCTAATTTAAATCCTTCTAGATGTTTGAAAAATAGCCTTGATTGCTTTTATTTTTTATTTTTTGTTTTTTTCTGGTACCAGGAATCGAACTCATGACCTCACACTTGCCAGGCAGGCACTGTGCCACTGAGCTAAATCCCCAGCCCCAGCCTTGATTGCTTTTAATTTGGTACTTCTCTGGGACTGGGGCTTGATGTTTCTCTGGGTGCTGAGAAGAAGCAAAAACCAGCTGATAAATTGTCTGATTTGGATCTCTAGGAAGATAGCAAGATTTTTTTTTTTTTTTTTTTTTTGACAGCAAGATTTTTAAATGGAAATGTGGTAGCACACTTTGAATAGCAGAACTGATTCGCTGGCTTGTGCATCCAGTGCGTTCCCTTGTGTGTATAAGTGGGGTGTCTATTTCTTGTAAGCTGTGTACCCAACTTCAACTTAGAGCTCCCAGTTTCCATCACACAGTTTTAAAGAACAATAATAAATGCTAGATGGATCTGCCTGCTGGGCCTAACGTTGCGACACAGACTGTTGAGTACGGGTCAGCACCACCGAGACCCCCGTCCCTCTCCTCTAAGTAGTGGGCCACGCTTATCTAATGAGGTTGTGTGGATGGAAAACCCTCTGTGCACCTGCCACCGGGCCACGCCACGCTGGCTCTGAATGAGAGGCGGCCACGGGCTCCTAAGCTGCTCAGGCTGGCCAAGCATTCCTGCCCGCAGCGTAGGCTGGAAAGCACACGCAGAGTGCCTGAATGTGCCTTACGATCGCTGGGGTGGAGAAGAACGGGAACAGTGTGATAACCAACCTTGTGACTTGACTCAGTCTCTAGTACCCTACATGTCTCATTTTATTGTTCATTACCATAAAATCCTATGGTCCTGTCCTGGGGAACGGAGGCTTCCTGGTGTTGACGGACACCTAAAGCAGGAGGAGAGCCACTGTCGCTATCCAGGCCCACTTTCCAAGCCGTCCCCATCCCGGCAGTAACTACGCTTACATCCGTGTTTCCCCCTCTCTGCTGAAATTCTAGCAGGGTTGTCCTCATTGCAGTAACGCTATGTGACAATGGCAGTGGAAGGCCTTAGAGGTTGTGGTTGCCTGTGTTTTCTTCTGGTCACCATCAGTTTGGGCATGGATAAAGATTACCGTAAGTGAGGCAGAGCACTGCGCTTTCATCCATGAAATCACAGCTCGCGGTGTTTCCTGCCCAGGATAGCCATGCTCCACCGCTGTGTTTGTTTAGCCAGGAGGCAGGGCAATTCTTCAGGACTGCTTTCTCTGCTGTTAGAGGGAGTCTTACTTTCTCATGGTCTCTCACTCCTGCTTCCCTGAAAAACTCCTATGACAGGTTCACTCATGACTGAATATTCTGGGGAAGAACCAAAGAAGTATAAATTTGCCATGTTATTCTCAACTTCCTCAGCACAAACTTCAGAGCTGCTTCAGGACGAGCAGTTGGATGAGGGTGGGGCTGGAGAGTAACGGTGGAATGTTAAATTTAAACATTCCCTCCACGTATTCCATAAAGACTTTTCTAACTAGAAGACCAATCAGATTTTTGTTTTGAGCCAAGCCATGTCCAGAGGAGCTCACAGCAGCACTAACTGTATATCTTCTGTCTCCATTTTCAGGTGATAAAAGATGCAATAGTGCAAAGCATTGAATACAGGAGACAGAATCCATCTCGTTGCTCTGTTTCTCTCAGCAATGTGGAGGCAAGAAGATTTTTCAACAAGGAATTTCTAAGTAAACCTCCAGCCTAGTCCGGGTACTGGAAAGAGCAGCAGTCTCTGATCCTGAGGCAATTTGGAATTCCACGATGACTGGATTTGAAAGCACTATTCAGATCGTTGCGCTGTACATAAGAGACTGGCTAAAACTCAGAGCGGGAGTTGTTAGGTGCATGAGAATAATACTGTTACAAATTTGTTAGGTGGATAAATGATGTTGATTATGTAAAAATGTATTTGTTCACAGTCTCTTTCAATATGAGATTCCTGATGCAAATGTAAGGATATATACGGTGTTTTTAAACATTCCTCATCAATTTTCCTCAGTGTGCTCTTTTTAAAAATGTGGTTTTTCTGTCTGAAATGTTTAATAGTTCAATCTCAGTTAGTAGGGCTTCCTAGTTGTGTGTGAAAGTTATTCACTGACTAGGTTTATTCATGAAGTGCAACAACACTATTTTTTTATTTATATATCATGTTTATGAAATAAATATGTCAATATGCAATTTAGCATGATCTAATTGAGTTTTCTGTTCTTCTTATTACTGAGATATTGTACTGTTGCTGTGAAAGATTTTCAGATTCACTGTATTCAAACCCAAAAAGTGTCAATTCTAAATGCAAATGTGAAGCTTTGATATTTAGATCATGATTGTTTTTCTTGGAAATGAAAGTTTATGTAATTTGTTCAGCAGGTGATATTTGTTTACTTAGCAAGTAGAAAAAATATATAACCACCTCTGATGTAGCATTTTACTTTGATATTATCCTGGGCCATTCATTCCTAAGCTAGCACAGTTGACTCAGAGAACAATTCAGAAAAGGGCAGGGACCGCACCGGACTTAGGGAAGTGACTTCCCTTTTTGCACATGTGCAGATTTGTCTTAGAGATCGGCTGTATTGTAGACTGCGGCTTCAGTCAGAGTTGAACTGTGGAGGCTCAGAATTAATACTGCAAACCTAAGGTCCTCCTTTCTTTCTTAGTTCTCTGCCTTTCTCCTTTCCTTTAATTATCTTTTGCGTTGGTGAACTTTCTAGTTGTTGAGACCTAATACCTGATACTCACAATTTAAAGGAGGAGAGCGTTAATTTGGCTCCCAGGTTTGAGATTCAGTGCATGGTGGACTGGCTCCAAGGCAGGGACATCATGGCTGACAGGCATGGTGGAGGAAAGTTGCAGCCAGGAAATAGGAAAGGGAGGAGCGGGGGATGAGACCGCACCCACTGGGATCACACTCCCAGTGACCCACCTTCAACCAGGTCCCACTTCCTGAAAACATATTCAGCTATGAACTCATAAACCAATGGGTGTAGGGCTCCCATGATCCAGCTTCCAAAAGCTCCATTTCTGAGCACATGAGACTTTTGGGGGAATATTTTAGACCCAAAGTATATATCTTTCTACATTCTCTATTCTTTCTTTTCTCTCGCCTTTCACATTTCTACTCATTAGGAAAGACTGAAACAATGATAAAGGAGAGAAGCCTTGAAGTTTCATTCTCATTGTCTGCTGACATGATAATGCACACAAGTGTCCATCAAGTGCCCTCTGGCACTTTGCAGGATCTGAGGGTCCACGGCGGACAGAACTGATAGAAATATCTGCCTGGGGGAACTTACAAGTTAGTGAAATTGACTTAAGGATAAACGGGACAAATGCGTATCTTAGAGAGTGATGTGTTAAGAAAATGAAAGAAGGGAAAAGAGATGGGAGGAGCTGGAGATGTGAAATTTTAAGCGGGGTCCCGGGGAAGTTTGTAATGTGCAGATGACGTCCATTGCAGAAAGGTGTGAGGAGTTGGGGCAGCAAGGCCTGTGGATGTCCAAGGGAAGAGCATTCCTGGCACAGGGAAGAGTGCATGCAAATTCATTGACAAAGAGCACAAGGCATATTTCAAGGACTGTCATGCCCAGAGCAGAGGGGAGGTGTAAAATCTTTTATTTGTTCCAAATTTGACAATACTCTATATTCCTGTACCCTTGACTTTGTGACCTTAACACAATCTATGGTGCCCCATGGAAATGAACTAGATGATCATTCAAAAGAGCATGGGTTAGAAAGCTGAAACCATCTCAACCCCTGTTTTCTCTTTGTTCACTTTTAATTTTGTAACTACAATAATGGAAGCTTCTTGTCTAACACAGCTGTGTCAGTTTGTTCAGTTATGAAGTTCACAGGACCTTTGATTTTTATAGGAACACACATCTTAATGGCAAATTAAATTTGTATGTTTACAGTTTCTTCTTCTACCCCAGAGAATGAATGATCAGTGAACTATTATCTTAGTTTTTCCAAAAATCATCCACTTACCGTGCAGTAATTATAACTTGGCTCTGTGCCTTCTTCACAGAAACACGACCTTTCCAATCTGCTTGTTTAGGCCCTGACAGGGCTCTTAATCTTCTCTGTGGACAACCTGACCGATGTCAGCTTATTTATTTTTGTAAGCTATAAAAGAAAAATAAAAATTTAGTATGTGTATATGCAGTTTTATTCCTTTTAAAAGATAAAATTTTAGATGTTTTGTAAGTACTGTTTTTCTAATAGTGAAACCACTCCATGAAACTTTGGCACCAGTTTTTCCTCTTCTTTTCCTTCCTAAAGATTTCAGTGTCGACGCCATTAGGTGAGGTGGAGGCCAGTAGATGAGGTTGGTGGTGTCATGGAGCAATAATGAGTCAGAACAGGACACAAAGCCTCAGGAGAGTCTGGGGGCGTCCACGCCGGTGTGGCACTCACAGTGGAGATCACTTACACACAGAAGTCAGCACCTAATTAAATGTTCTACATGTTATAAATATAGTAGGAGCCAGTTTTCTCACTGAGAATAGAGTTGCAAATATGGAAATGGAAACCAGAAGGCTTCTGTGGTGGGATTGAAATTGAAGGTAGTGTGCATTCCTATTGTTCCGCATATGTAGTGGCATAGATAACAGAGATGAGGGGTGGGGGGTGGTGAGGATGTGGACTGCGTGTGTGATGTTGCACAGGCATGCCACTGAGAAGCTCTGAGAAGAGTGACACCCCATAGCGGTGAGCACGCATGGAGCCCATATCTTGGCATTTAACTTTTATTATTTTCTAGGAGACATTTAGGCCCCTTAGATAAGTGGCTGATCCCAACGCTAGGGTAAGGAAAGAATAATTCTAGACCATTTTATTTTGCCAAAGAATGGAAAATTGCTCAGAGAGTAATTGGACCATACTCCTCTCCACAAAGACAGATTCCATCTTGAAGGGACACCTAATGGTTTGGCTTGGGACACATCAAACATTAAAGTAAATAATGATAGTGACATTATGACCCACAGATTAGAAAAAATAGAAAAATATGACTAACTTTTGTGTAAATAGACAAGTTAGTGGATAGGTTAATGAAAATTTAGAAGTTTCATCAATTTAAAATTCTTTATAAAATAATCACAAAGGAGAAAAGAGTAACTTTATGGTACAGAAAGCTGGGAGGCCAAATAGACAAAAATTAACATACACAGTAAAAGCACAAAGTGAAATTTTGTGCCACCTGATAGCATGCAATGGGTTGAGCAAAACATCTTTTGTGATAGCTCCGCAAAAGTCCAAATTGGGAGCAATTCCAATCCTAACTGCGTAATGGTCAAAATTGTTAAGACTGAGGAAGTAAAGCACCTGCCTGGCAAGCGCAAAGTCGTGAGTTCGGTTTCCAGTACCGGAGAAAAACAAAACAAAACAAAACAAAAAAAAAAGACTGAGGAAGTCAGAGCAACACTGAAGAGCAATTCTAGATGGAAGAATAATGATCCACGACAGCTGAGAACGATATGTGGTCCTGAGCTGAATTTTCCTTGTTATATAAAGGATGTCAATGAAGTGGCTGACAAAACTGGAACAGGTTCAGGGGATTTCATGACAGTAATGCACTAATGTAAATATCTTGACTTTGAACCTTGTATTGCAGTTGCATGGTGATCATTCTTTTTTTTTTTTTTTTTTTTGGCTTTTCTCCGGTACCGGGAACCGAACTCACAACCTTGCACTTGCCAGGCAGGCGCTTTTACCGCTGAGCTAAATCCCCAGCCCCTGCATGGTGATCATTCTTACTTGTAAATACACATTGAAATATTCAGGCTGATAGAACCTCCTGTTACCAGGTGGCTCAGAAAAACAAAACAAAATCTCTTCCTATCAAACTTTCAACTTCTCTACAAACTTGACATTGCTTTAAAATAAGAAAAACTGGTTGAAATTTTGTCAATAGAAATTCAGATGGAAATTCTCTAAATGAAGTTTACAGTAGTGGTTCCCTTTGCATATTCACATTTTCTTTTTAAAAAATCTTTATAGAGCTGAACAGTGCAAGCACTAAGTTTTTATGTTTAATAAAAGCCAAATAAACAAATCATTCAATAAAAGTTCTAAAGAATCCCTATAATCATGTCCAGTGAAACTATGTTGTCTCTAATGTTCTTTGAAATTATTATTTTCTTATTCCCTTTAATGGTTTGATCCATCTTCTATTCTTACATCTAGTAATTGGAGCAACTTTGTTGAAGATAACAACATGTAATATAGCAACCACTGTTAATCCCTATCATTTGGTTTGAAACCCTGTATCATTTTTAATGTCCTTGCTTTGTTTTGTTTGTATTTTGTTATTGTTCTTTTTTGTACTATTTTCTTTAAAATAAATAAAAAAGAATTGCTTTTTGTAGTTTTTCAATAGTTTTCCCTAATAGTTCAAGGACTACAGTTTTATAACATCTTAGTGGTTTTTATATTCTTTCTATAATTCAGTGCCAAATTAAAATCCAATTAATGCTCTATCTGGAAAAGAACAAAATAAAAAATAGGAAACAATGAAAATTGGGAGAATATATAAGTTGTGGCTTTTAGACTGGATTCTCTAAACAGTGCAGAAGAATAAATATCATTGTTTCTCACATGTGTAACATGCTGTGCTTGGCTCTGAGGGGAACGTGAAGCAGGTATTGCTGGTATTCTGCCCAGATCCCTTTTACAGGGTGGGAGCATCCATCACCTAGGGGCTATGAATATTCGGTGCTCAAAGCCCATCATTACATTCTTCTGAGAACCGCTCTCAGCTTAAGAGTTATGCTTGTTAGTTATGCCCCCCACCCCGAGAACCTTGCAGCCAGTGAATAACTGCTGTGAGTGTACAAAAGGCTGCTTTAACTGAAGATAGGGCAATTCTCTGATGTCTATCGTGCTCCGGAGTTCTCCCTGGGCATAGGCTGAAGCAAGACATGGACTAAACTCACTTCTTGTCTGGCTTCTCTCTTTGTGTCATCCTTCTTTCTTCTTTATATTTTCAGGGTGCAATGTGCACACATTGAACATATTGCTTACACAAGAACCTTCAATTTGGTAACTTTTCTTGGAGAAACTGACCTAAGGCATACACAAAAATGCACAAGACTTGATTCTTTTACAAAGAGTTTACAAACTTGTGAAAGAGAAAGAAAATACAACTCATGAAGTAACAAATGAAAAAAATTATATGTAAATTGCTATTGGATGATTTATTAGACTGATTATTTCTCTTCTGAAGTTAGTTTATTTCCTTTGTTAAATTCTAAATATTTGAATGCATTTATTATTATGTTAACATGCTAGGGGCACTGTGTTAGTTACTTTGTCTTATTGCTTAGATGCTTAGATGTTTATTTAGCTCACAGTTTATAGAGGTTTTAGTCCGTAATCAGCTGGCTCCAAGGAAGGGTGGCAGGGCAGAGGGCCATCACAGAGGAGAAACAGTTCATGGCAGGCAAAAGGTAGCAAACCAAACAAGAGGGATGACCACAGCTCTTTCTATCCCTTGTATCTTATGCAGGTTACTTAGCATTCACACCTTTAATCCTAGTGTCCTTGAGCCTATCACAGCACCATGAATCAATCCCACCACAGACACTGTAGGTCCAGCCACCTCTGAAAAAGCCCCACCTATGTTTTTTTTTTTTTATTTTAAACAGTAAAAGAAGGATAACATAGTAATAGGGGGGTTTACTGAATTACAGTCAAAGTAGTAGGAAATTATCAATGGTTGTTGTTTTACATACTGTTATCTACAAGATAGTTTCTCAGGAACAAATAGACAAATAATAGTGAGTTACAGACAAAAGTGGTAGGAGATTATCAGTGGTTGTTGTACTATACTTTGGTGTCTTCAAAGTGGTTTCTAAAGAAAATAAATAGAGTTATACATGAATGACCAATTGAATAATCATTGACTATTCTCAATGGTTGTTGTAGGAAACACATAGTAATAAACATACATCCATTTATGAAATAGCATAGAAATAATACAAACATTACAGAGTTATGGACAGATTAGTAGGAAAATATCAATGGCTGCTGTAATATATGGTGGTATCTTCAAAGTGGTTTCTCAGGAAGACAGAGATACGCAAGAAAGATCTAACAAGTAGTTACAGCCTAAGGGTTGTGAAAAATAGCTTGTTACTTCCTCACCAGTGACTCCTTTCACTGAGGTGTGATGGCTGGAAGGAAGGCCAGGACTGAAAAGAAGGACGGAGAGACTTGCACCTGTGTCTAGCAACAAGCTGATTTCTTTTTCCTCTATAGTCATGATTACCTGGAGCTCCTCCATGGAGATAAGAGTCTGGCCAGAGGGAGGAGGCAGAGTATGCCCCGGGCCCTCTCATTCCTGTTGGACTAACTGGTAGGATGGGTCTGAGCTCTGGGGCCTCCACTTCAGAGGGTAGACTGATCTCCAGTGGTCACCTTTGCATTCAGAATAGCCCCACCTATGATTGCATAAGGCTATGGGGGTGACATTTAGACACAAGCCATAACATTCTGTCCCTGGCCCCTCAAAGTCTCATGTACCTCCCTTTATGGAAAAGGAATTTAGCCCATTACTAAGAGTTGCCAAAGTCCTAACAATTTCATCACTGCTGAAACGTCCAAGTCCAAAGTTCCCTCTGATAGTGAAGGTGACTCTTAGCTGCAAACCCCTGTATAAATGAAAAGAAAGTTAAGCACTTACAGTGTTCAATGGGACAAGATAAACATTTCCATTTGAAAAGTTGCAAATAGTGATAGCAAAGAATGGGAACAAAGTAAGACCAAAATCCAGTAGGATAAACATTAAATCCCACAGTTCCACTTCCAGTACCCCTGGAAATCTGTGGCAAGTTATGAACTCCAAAGGGCTTGAGTGGCTCTGCCCGTGGTTTTAGCTCCCATGGCTTCTCTCTTGCGCTAGCTGTGCTCCCTTCTAGCAGTTTTCCTCAGAAGATCTATGTTTCTGGCTTCTCCAAACTTCTGGGGCCTTGACTGCGCCTTTGGCTTTACACTCACAGCTTCTCATATTGCCTTCTCAGGCCTTCTTCTGAATCTGGGTGGAGGGCTTCTTGACCCCACTAATCTTGTATCCTGCATGCACCTGAAATAAGCCCCATGTGGAAGATGCCAAGGTCTGCCACCAGCTGGGGCAGTAACCAAGCTTCCTTTTCTCTTGGCTGTAGGGGTTGAGTGCTTATGAACCATACCCAGAGAAATGACTTTCCTGGGCCACCACTACCTGGAACGTTGTGCTGTGGGCTCTCTTCTCAAAGCAAAGTTTTACACATTTGCAACTCTGAGGCTTCAGAAGATGGAGTCTTACTCGTTCTCATGAAATCCTCAGGCCATTTTTTTCTGTTATCTGCTGAAATACTTGACTTTTCCTTGCTAGTCCAGCATGCAATCAGTGATAATTCTTTTTGAATACATTTAAATGTGAGAAGAGTTAAATTAGCTGAGTGATACGCTTTGGGCAGAAACAGAGAGAATTCTAGATTAATCTGCTGCTGTGATAGCATCCAAGTTTATGGAGGAAGTAAATTATCAAGG